CCATTCCCACCTGGGTGAAGTGAGGGAAGTTCGTGTAAAGTGCCTCCTTTCCCAAGGACACAACGTCGGGCCCCTGACGGGATTCGAACCCACAACCTTACGGTTGCGAGTCCGAGAGCCTAACCACTAGGCCACCGACGTAAAAGTACATGTAGATCAATATAGCCCTTCCTTTCGAACTGTTTGACCTAATGTACAACATCCAAGGCTACTGTGGCGTCACAGTAGGGTTGCAGTTATGTCTTACACTGTCCCCGCGGTTTTATGTTAAAAAAAAGATAAAAAGAATTTATGCAAACTGAGCCCTAAAATGTGAAATCATGCAATTCCATTAGATTTAATTTTAACAAAGAATGATAAAGGAAAATAATTAGAAATTATGCATACACAAGAAAAAATCAAAATTTGCTAAATTATGCGGGGTGCATAAAACCGTGGGGACAGCTTACAGTAACAGCAAAGCAGAGAATCTTTGGTAATTGGAAAAAGTAATTAATTATAAAAATGATAATTTTCTTCCATATATGTATAGATTCTGGTGTATTTCCATTAAGAAATAATTCATGTCACTTGACAACAATACGAAGAACACTAGTACATGTATCATACGGTGGTTCTAATAGCGATCACCCTCTCTATCTCTCTCTCTCTCTCTCTCTCTCTCTCTCTCTCTCTCTCTCTCTCTCTCTCTCTCTCTCTCTCTCTCACCCTTTCCGACAAAGATATTGCACACACCGACACACATACTCTCACACACACACACGCACACACACACATACACACACACAAACGCACACACATACACACACACAAACGCACACATAAACACACACACACACACACACACACACACACACACACACACACACACACACACAGAGCCGGATTAAGAATATTGAAAGTCTAGGGCCCGCCTGGAAGAGAGATCTCTGCTTTCCAATCCCCCAATTGCATACACCACAGACTAGTAACCTAAATCCGACCAATAATACATAAAAAGGACACTTTTACTTTTAGTTAGGGAATGCTTAAAAAGTCGAACAGGGATTCTTCTTCTAGTGTTATATGTCATGAATAAACACGAAATGAAAATGAAATGAATACAAGTTGTTCTTACTAAATTTATTTACTCAGAAAAATTCAGTTAATTTTTTTTTTTTGAATCGTGAAAAACTGTAGTATAACTAGCAAGTTGCCTACCGGTATATATAGATCTAGTTCAAGCCAGAGAATGGATGGAGTTAGAATCATTTCAGTCCGGACAATTCTCTCGATTTAAGTGCGAAAAGTCGCTTATGACGTCACTGAAGTCCATAGTTCACGCATGCTACTACATGTAGATCTATATTATATTATGTGTGTGTGTGTGTGTGTGTGTTTGTGTGTGTGTGTGTGTGTGTGTGTGTGTGTGAGT